TTGTTAGTCTGTCTATAAGATACTAAACAGCTGAATATTAAATAACGACGAAACTTTATATAGATGAGTGAAAAAACCAACATTAACTTCTTCTTACTTATTTAATCACAGAAAAAAGACAAACAGGGTAATTTTATTATGTATGTGTTTATTATTATCAAATTAATTATTCTATGTATTACTAGCAATAGGAAAATATTCTCTTCAGGAAAAATTGTGAAATGCACTTGTTTCTCGGAGTATATAAAAAACAAAATACATTAAATGAACTGTGTATCTGAAGTCCCTTGTTTCGTGTCTTGAAGATGATACTGTTCAAAAGTACACTTGACATTTCTTCCCACCTGGTCTACGTACCAACAAATGCAGCTGTTTTTGTTTTGTGTACTAGACGAAAGTCCACTCTGTTTCCTCCTCCATTATCACCTAATTTTGTCACATGTCTGTGTAACTGGTAAGTATAACCAAAGTATATATGATAGGTAGGTATAACCAAAGTATGTTTGACTGGTAGGTATAACAAAACAAAATCAGCTGCATTTATTGGTACGTAGACCATGTGGGAAGACATGTTAAGTGTACTTTTGAACAGTAGCATCTTCAAGGCCCGTCACGGCCAGGTGTTTAGGGCGCTCGACTCGACTCGCAATCTGAGGGTCGCGGGTTCGAATCCCCGTCACACCAAACATGCTCGCCCTTTCAGCCGTGGGGGCGTTATAAAGTTACGGTCAATACCACTATTCGTTGGTAAAAGAGTAGCCCAAGAGTTGGCGGTGGATGGTGATAATGAAATTTAGTGGTGTTGACTAGTTGTCATTCTTCTCGGCTATCACTTCAAAATTAGGAACAACTAGCGCAGATAGCCCTCGTGTAGCTTTGTGCAAAATTAAAGAAAAAACAACAACAACTAACTAAATAAAATTCTACTTTTTTCAAGCACAGAATCCATTTCATCGTGGAGCATATAGCATTGTACCGCGATTTTTTAATTGAAAAATAACTATAGTATATATTTCCGAAAAAAAAAAAATGTCCTAAGGATTTTGAATGAGGAACAAAACCACCGTTTCACTTTTTCCTTCTTTCTTTTAGTTGTTTATTCTTCATATGAAGAGATGTGCAACGCTTAGTTTAACGTAATGCGAAACCTTTCAGTGGCTTTCAGAAAAAAAAAACGAATCCTCATTTTAGTGAAAACAAAGCCGAGATAATTCTTACTCTCCCGTTTCAAATTTTGTATTATTGTTTCAAGCATCTGGCAAGTCAGTTTCCTTTGGAATCAACACTAGAAGTTAGTCCTCAATTTCTGCAGACAGGCATGTGACAAAATTAGGTGATAATGGAGGAGGAAACAGAGTGGACTTTCGTCTAGTACACAAAACAAAAACAGCTGCATTTGTTGGTACGTAGACCAGGTGGGAAGAAATGTCAAGGGTACTTTTGAACAGTATCATCTTCAAGGCCCGTCATGGCCAGGTGGTTAGGGCGCTCGACTCGACTCGTAATCTGAGGGTCGCGGGTTCGAATCCCCGTCACACCAAACATGCTCGCCCTTTCAGCCGTGGGGGCGTTATAAAGCTACGGTCAATCCCACTATTCGTTGGTAAAAGAGTAGCCCAAGAGTTGGCGGTGGATGGTGATGACTAGCTGCCTTCCCTCTAAATTAGGGACGGCTAGCTCAGATAGCCCTCGTGTAGCTTTGCGCGAATCTCAAAACAAACCCTTACAAACGTAGGATAATAGGTTTATATCCCATCTTGAAAATGTATTCTAATAGGAGAATTATTTAATATTCGGAATACATGGCGATTATATTATTTTAATAAAATGATAAATTCGATGCTTTATTTGGGAGTATACAATATTCTTTGCGGGTTATGCGAATGAAATATTTTGGTTAAATTAATATCTAGCTGTGAACATCCAATCGCATGGATTCCATCAAAATATTTCAAATATTGAATCAATTTGGTTTTTGAACGGAAAACGCTGAAATGAAATAGCATTGATCAATGCCACGATGTCAAGATTATCACCAAAACAAGAAAAGATAATTAAAAAAAATATTGGACGTGTGTAAAGCAACATTTACGTAATGTCATGTACATATATTATGAAGACATAAACTTAATCAACCAAGATTTGTCTTATTATTGAAGAACGACGTTTTGGTTCCAAAGTAATTTTATTAAATCAAGGATATCAAGAAAACATGTTGTTTCTTTTTACAAGAATTTGAGCTAATGAAAATCTCTATATCTCATTATATAAAAAAAAATAACTTTTAACGCAGACGCTTATGTAAACATACAGAAAAGAGAATTGGTAGTAAATCCAAATCCAGCGGAAGAGGATCTTTCTACATGTTATACTTAGGTTTTCTGTCACATGTGTCATGTAACGAGCCAGTTTCTCTGTAATTGCTACTGACAGTTTTACTGTATCCCGACAATAAAAGTACACAGTATGCAAATGTTCAACACAAAGTATTGTTTAACTTCGTACAAAACAAGAACTTGTACTGACATTCCAAACCGGTTGACAACTAAGATAAGACGTTAAACTAGGCTGGCAAGACAAGATATGTGATGCGGCTATCGCCCGTTACCGGATGCCAACAATGTCTAGGGTACACCTCTATGAAAGTGTCTGCCTGTAGGAAAAAACAAACAAAAAAAATCACATCTAAATCTAGAAAGCGACAAGTAAAAACTTTAGAAATAGTTCCATTGTTTATAAAACAGGAGGCATGTAAACCATCAGATTTAAGTAAAAAAATTTAGACAAAAGTCATTTCTCATTAATCAAAAAACCTACTTTAAATGTGCGTGTTACAGCGTAGAACAATATAAGTATGGGTAGACGTTTGTACAGTTATTAAAGTTTGGGCATTCTGTTGATAGTACAGGTGCAAGACTGCCTTAAGAATAAAAACCAAGAAAAAAAATGGGTGCGGCCGTCATGTATATATGCTACGCGAGTTATGGTTGGCGCGGTAACGTAAAACATACGTGCAGTATGTAATATAATATCCAAAATAACTTAATCATTATAATAAATTTGGAATTACCTAATAAAGTATCTCGAGAGCTTAAGCTTCTGTAATAAAGTGATAAAAAGAGAGAAATAATAATGAAAAACAACTACTGACAACGAAAAGAGCGTATTTGAAGTGTACCCTAATTTGCTTTTAATACCGCCTTATCCATTCTATATAGATTACACACTAATGTTTTGTCCATCACATCAATTTATAATTTTCGAACAAGTTAGCCCTGTGGTAGAGCTGGTGAACCGTGTTCGAATCCGAGCGATACCACAAAATATTTCCCACATTTAAGCTGTACATGGGTTATGAAAATTATAGTCAATCACTTGGTGTGGATGGTGGGTGGTATGGTGCTGCTGACCAGTCAGTAGGTCAAATTTGGGAATGCGGTAGAGAGCCTTAGTAGCTTTACCACAAACACAATCTTCTAGGTTTCTCGACTCTCTAGATCCTCATACATTGTGATGTTGTTGAGCAGCTTCATATTGTTCAAATCTCTAAAACGTTGTCATTGTTGAAGAATCAGAAACAACGTATTAATAAATGTTACTTGCTACTGTTATTTCCTTCTTGCTTATTTTTACAAGAAATTTGGAAAACGATACTAAAGTTTAAATAAAAGTGTGTGGATTGATAATAATAGTTTTATTCTTCTGTTTTCTATTTGATTTTTTGTTAAGGATATATAGGTATGTTATCTTCACGTAAAAAATCTCGCTTTGGGGCCATGGATCCTTTATAAGGGTGACGAAAACTCCAAATATGTGGTCAAACAAGAGCATCCAAATCGTTGGTAGTAGGTGCTGTTGACTAGCTACCTATTCTATAGCTCAAAATTAGGGACTGTTAATTTATATAGCTCTTGAGAAGCTTTACGCGAATATCTAAAAACAAAGAAAAGCAGCATAACGCGGTCTCAGACCTTAGAGTTTCCAATTCACAACTGAGCACGTAAATCATTAGGCTTCACCAGTCTTTTTGTCCGTAATGGCTCTTGCTAAATTGATTCAGATATACATGAAAAAAAAACAAAAAAAACGACGTCTCCATTTAAAATTGGGCTAAAAGAAAAGAAAATCTTGAAACTGGAATTAAAATCTTTGAATATTTTTCTTCAAATTAACTTCCTGAAAAACTAAACACTATATCATCTCCATTAATTCAAGAAATTATCCATTTTCCATAGTCTCTTTTTTTTTACTGAAAACAACAATAACTGTAGCAAGCATAACAAATGCAATATCATAAAGTGAATAAAAAATATGACTTAAAGATGAAAAAAATGTAATCGTAATTTGAAAAATAAAGCCTCTTAACATTTAAAAAAATAAACAGACGATAAAACTAAAAAAAAACAAACAAAGAGAAATATAGAAAAAATGCGAAACAATGTAAAAATCCTAAGTTTAAGGGACTTGTTTTTTACATAGCTAATTAATACTAAAATCAGTACATAAATCAGGTCAGATGTATCTTTGGAAATTGTTTTCTTTTTAAAGATAAGCAACATAACGTTAATGGTAGATAGAATAGTACCTTTACCCAAAATGTTATCAACATTATTTTAATGTAAAATAGTACCATTATCCAAAATGTTATAAACATTAGTTTAACGTATAATAATACAGTTACCCAAAACTTAGCCCACATTAGTTTAATGTAGTATCTTTATTTAAAATGTTACCAACATTATTATGATGTGGAATAGTACCTTTACCAAAAATGCTACCAACATTAATTTAATGTAGGATAGTGCTTTTGCCCAAAATGTTATCAATATTAGTTTAATGTAGAATTTACCTCTAATGTTTGTTTTTTTATTGAATAAAGTTCTTTGAGGAAGGCTTTATATATTTTAAAATTTTAAACAGAGTCCACATATTTGATTTTCAGAAAAGTTACACAGAAATGTCCTTTCTTTTTCACAATGACTAAAACAGATAGGACTTAAAAGGTTTCACTGCTACCGCATTTTTATCACCTGATTTTCGATACACCTCATAACGTGTTTCAACTTCACAGGTGGACTTTAAATGATTACTCTTTGAAGATACATGTAGTAATCCATGGACCCTCGAGTTTCCCTCTCCTCTTGGGAGTGCACAAGATAGTTAACAACAGTGGTTAAGAAACCCTTATGTAACTTTGCTCCACAGGCCCCATGCGGTCTAGTTGCACCATTCTTCACAGACATCTATGAGAGGAAATAATTTGTGGAATGTAACTGAGGATTAGAAGAAATATTAGTGGTTTGTTTGCATACGAATTTACGTTGTTAGAAACCCTTATGTAACTTTGCTCCACAGGCCCCATGCGGTCTAGTTGCACCATTCTTCACAAACATCTATGAGAGTAAATAATTTGTGGAATGTAACTGGGGATCAGAAGAAATATTAGTGGTTTGCTTGCATACGAATTTACGTTGTTTTACAGAAAATAAATATTATAATCAGCATGCAGAATGATGCAAGCTTCTTAATTATTAAAAATAGCCTACTAGACAAGTTGACTTAAGTTATTGTTAGAAATATGTAATAATTAAGAGCATGTGTTTGTGTAGTCACTTTTTCCGGTTATATATATATATATATATATATTTAGTTCAGCAATCTCTTTCATGTTAATTCAATGGGTGATTTTTTACAAGAATACAATAATTTCCCCGTTGATCCTAAAATCACTTACCTTAGAAATTCAAAAAGTGTTTCTTCCGTTGGCGTACAAAATACTTTTTCTAGTAACCCTGGAATCTCTATTCCTCTATTAGCTCAGTGGCAAGTCCGACGACTTATAACTCTATAAAGTGGGCTTAGATACTCGTAGTAGACAGAGCGCAGATAACTCATAGTGTATCTTGGGGCTGAACAATGAAACAAACAAGCATCATCTTGTAATTGAGATGCTCGAGCACGCCAGAAATTGGCACTCTTGCTTATAACACACCAATCACTTCGTTTGATAACTCAAAAGGCACTAAAAATCATAAAACATTTTCGTTTTTAACCTAACTAACTATTATTTTACAAATAACAAAGTAATTGTTAGAATAATTTAAGAACTACTATGTTTTGTAAACACAATAAAACAATCTGATGGTAATATAGCAACCTAATTTTCTAGTAATATAAAACAATACAGAAAACATTTTAGTTGTAGTTCAGAAGATTCCTCTCCTGATGTCTCAAGAGATAATTATTTCCTTAATACCCCAATACACTCATGCTTTGTTTGGTTGGTTTAAAACAAAGTCACATTGAACTATTTGTTACGTCTGCCACGGGGAATCGAACTCTGGATTTTAGCGTTGTGAGTCCGTTAACTTACCATTGTCCATTTCTCATGTAACTCGAGAGCTGCGCATGTAGTTTGAAAACAGGTTTCCTGCAATCCAAAAGTTACTTTCTCTTACAATTTTGCACATGTTTTTAATAGTTTAGCAAATATTTGATCTATTAATCCAAAAAAGTATTATCTCCTTATCATTCTCCAGATATGATCTCATCCCCAGTAACTGCAATTTGAGTCTCTTATTAAATCTAACTTTTTTCCAATTATTTCCAAAAAATATATTCTTTAGTACTCCAAAAACTGCTTTTTCAAAAATCAGTGAATACTTGTATCAATAGATAATACTTTCCGAATATACTACAGCTTTAGTAGACCACCTTCCTATACATAAAACATAGAGAAAATACACTACGTTTTATTATACTATATATGGTGATAAATAAAATGCAAAGTTGTCATATAATTCAACCTTTTAACATTAAGGAACAAAAAATGACTTCTGTCAAAGTATTTATACATTATCAACTTACAGTTTTTCGTAATATTTACATCTTAAACAAATTAAAAAGACAAGATTTCATCTTTGAATAGGGTTGTTTAAACATTTGTTTAACAACAAGTAAAAGCTTGGAATGGTCTATCCTTTCATCTTGTTTGCTTCATTTTTGAACAATAAAATTATCCAATAAACATTGAAGAGTTGAGACAAAGGAAATATATTTATTGCCTGACAATATTCCAACAACAAAAGGAAATATTGATGTTAGTAGTATTGATACAGGATTGGGTACATTTTATTAAAACGATACGGAGTACGGAAATCAGTAAGTTACGTAACAACCACAACCGATATAACTATACAGAAAAAGACCTGCAACAAGTTTTATCCCACCTGTGGTAAACGAAGTGCAGAATCTTGTAACAGGTGAGGATTCACGAACATAAAGATCAGTTGCAAAAGCCGTACACCTGCTCCAGACAACATTATCAAGAATGATCTCTTATCTGAAACAGGGTATGGATTCGCTAGGCTAAAGCTTCCAGTTGTAGCTCCTATTCAGCCGCCTCATACTTCAAGCAGCTAAAGAATTAAACGGGTCTTTATGCTATTCCTTAGAAAGACTTACTGATCAAGTCGCCGGACGCAGTATCTATGGAATTTTGTGTGATCGGTTTACTCAAATGGACTATTGGTAAGATGCACGGTCGTCAGACAGAATATAACCGTACATACATGGTAAGCTGGACTGTAACAATGTGGAGAGATTGTACAATTGTTTTAATATAACTCTATGTATATATATAAAGACTCGAGA